GAGAGAGAGAGAGAGACAGAGAGAGAGAGAGAGAGAGAGAGAGAGAGAGAGAGAGAGAGGGGGGCGAGGGGGAGAGCGAGGGCTGCTGTGGTGTTAATAAAACAGACCATCATGAAGACGCAAGATGACATGATTCGCAACGAGATGAATATTTCCTTCCGGCCTGTTAGCAGCTCTGCGACACCGTGCCACCGTGCCTCTCACCATCTGGAGGGCCACGTCCACCAACAGCAACAAGCAAGCCGCCACCAAGAGAGCACGTCAATTACTTTTTATTGGCAGTGTACGAGCTGTATTTAGACTTTGTTTTTTTGTGACCGCAGGAAGTTGCACGTGTCCATTCTCACCGAATGCTCTTCATGGCTACCACATTTTGTTGACTTCTCTCACCTTTGGTAGTTTGTCGGGGTCGCCTGGGTGTCTGGGAATGAGCTTCTGCAGCCTCTGGAACCCGTAGTCGATGGTGGGCTCGTTCAACGCTGCAGAAACGGACAGAAGAAGAAAAAAGGGGGCGGTGAAGGACACGCAAACACATTAATACCACACGGTGCCAACTTTTATTGCTCTGCCCTGTAAACACACACACACAGCCGCAGCACGAGGGAAAAATATATAAGAAGAGAAAACAGAGAAGAGGGCGAAAAAAAAGGTGAGACTTACAGACATAGACGAATCTGCCCGGAGCACCCTTGCAGAACTGTTTTGATTTATACGACAGGGTGACTTCCACGACGCCAGGGATGTGGCGCGGAGGGGTCTGGACCCGGATGGCGTTGGACGTCACCAGCTGAGCAGGAAACACAACAGTGGGGCGTAAGTCGGGCTATCATAACTTCCGGAGCACCCTCCTCCCCCTCCTCCACCCCTCCTCCCCCACCCGGGCCCGGCCCACCGCAGCGAGGCCGCAGCGGGGGCGGGGCGGAGTAGGGTGAGGCCGGGTGAGGTGGGAAAAAGTAAGTGGTTTGTGGTGTCAGGCCGAACCGCCAAACCATAACACGGTGCGCGGTGTCGCACGATCCCACACGCCTTAAAGCCTTGACTGTTTTCGTAGAAAACATTTAAGCAAAACGGTTTTTATTCCACATAAATTTGCCATTTTGAGAGTTGGGAAAACACCGTTCATGAAAGTCGATGAAAATATTCTTAGAGTTTGGTGGGTGCCAGTTGACTCACCTCGCTCCAGACGAGCATGGTGCCGAACACGACCTGCAGCCCGTCGAAGAAGTTCTCGCCGATGATGATGACGGTGGCGCCCCCGCTGGTCCAGCCCTCGGCCGGGCTGATGGCCTTGATGCAGGGCGTGGCCACCGGCAGCGGCGGGTACAGGCCTGAGGAAGAGACAACAAGCGGATTCTAGTGATTTGGAGTAGTTGTAAAAAACATGACGCATTAAAGTTTCAAATTAATTTCATTGTCATGACATGTCTTAATGTATGGAGATATATTTGTTTTTTTCATTTTCTTTGTTTTTGCAAAATATATTAAGAAATAAAATGACAGCTATGGACCTGTGTGCTCACCGTCCGAGGGGTCCAGCCGCTTCGCCCGCCGCCCGTGCTTGGAGTTGTTGTGGACGAACATGTTGTCCGACACGGCCAGGAGCGGGCCGTCCACGCTGACCTGCGTTGAGATCACCACCTGCAGCACGAGAGAGAGACGGAAGCCCGCGGTTATCAAGAAGGTTCGGGATCGAGGTCAAGGTCACTCAAAAACATTGCACGCCCAGTCAATTTTCCGCCCCCACTGTTCTTGACATTTCCGGTGTCGCTCGGGACGACAACGCAGTGAGTGCAGCTCCAGACGAGAAACGCTTATCTCACCCGTTGCTTTTTAATGCTCGCCACAGAGAGCCACTACGGACTTATCTACCTCGGCTAATTGGCCACCTCGCTAAGGGTCTCTCTCTCTCTCTCCCCCCCCTCTCTCTCTCTCTCTCTCTCTCTCTCTCTCTCTCTCTCTCACTGCCCCACCACTTCCCACCAGCCCTTTCTCTAGGCGCATCGCGCACACAGCGAATGACGCGCAACGGGAAGACAAGTATTACAGGGGTGACGGTACAATAAAATGCACATAATGCAAATCATACGCTGTTGTTTTATGTTTAAAATGAGATTTAAGGTCCTCGCTTTTTTGCCACTTGCATTTTTCCTCACAAAGTGTGAGGGTACGGGCTGGCCTAATTAAGAGCACAGATTCTATTAAGGGCGCGCTGTGGCGAGTAAGGTAAAGAAGTGCCATGGTGTCATTCTTCCTCCCCTCTTGCGCCCGTCCTCCCCTCCCCCCTTCCCCTCTGGGCGCGGCGCCCTGCCTGTCAGCCCTGCCTACTACCCTTTTCCTACAAAGAGAGAGATGTGTCGTCCCGGAGCCACAGAGAGGGAGAGGAGAGAGCGGCGGTGGTGGGGCGATAAAAAAGAAAGAAGAGAAAAAACGCGAAAGACCTGCCCAAGTCAAAGAGGGGGGAAAGCGAAGGAGAGAAAGGGTGGCCGCAAGTCAAGCATGTAAGCGGAGGACAAACGAGGGGCAGACCGGACGGCTCGGGGGAAGGACAGAAGCGGGTGGGCCGTGGGCGGGCGGGGCGGCTCCGGGGAGGACCAGCGGACGCCTGCCAGAGGGGTGAGTGGTCGGGGAGGAGCTACTCCTACCACGCGACTCAGGGAGGTGCAGCAGCAGGTGAACCAAGAAAACACAGAGAATACTGTGCGGTCGTTATTAGTTGTGTACATTTGGCTTTGCTCACCCCTGAATCAGTGCGCATCCGTGAAGACTGGTTTATAAGTATGCATGGTATGTGTACACCGATATATCGATACATCCGTGTACGATGCTCACTGAGTGCATGTACATAGTAACTATAGGAACAGGAAAGACGTATTTTGGAGTGTCACGTCGCGGCACTATAGGTGCACTGGCCTGTCAGGTCCCTCTTTAAGTGGTATTTCCTCGCCCCGCCGCGCCGAGTCTCGCGGGACATCGCGGCGACCTGGCGACGTCTTGGTGACGTCCCTCTGATGAGCCGCTGACATTCAGATCGCCTCCGCCGGGTCTTTTCTTCCCTTTCAAAAGACTCCTCGGCGCGGCCGGCGATATGTCAGGTCAGGCCGCTCAGGGCCTCCCTCTACTTCCTGATTGGCTCGGGCACCCTCTCACCACCCTCCTGATCGGTCATTGAAACCTTCAAACATCCCCACCATATGCTCGCGTTAAAGGGCGACAGGACACGTCAACAGTTAACAATATGCGCACAAAAGGGTACCTTAAGGAAATGACAAATTTGTCATAACTCGTCTGAAAAACTGCATAATTGGTTTAGCAAAAGAGATCTAAGGACTGAAATTGTTCACTGAAAAATTACAGGCTTATATTGCAAAGTTGTATTAATTTCTATCCTTGCTTATTCATTGCTATTATTTGACAATTTTTAAAATCTTTTCATTTTGAAACCTACTTTATAAAGCATTCCTAAAATTGCCCTTTTAAACATCTACGTCGTTGGCGACGTCTATTTTCCACTCATTTTCTCACCAAAGCAGGCGACCAACAAAATTCACGACGAGGACGTTAATGCAGGGGATGGAATTAAGTTTGCCGCCTCTCGCCCCCACACCCCCGCCGCCCCCTCCGAAGACTCGACGCATTATAACGGCAGGGTGAATTTTTAACACCTGCGCGGAGCCCTTCTTCACGGCAATGATCTCCCCTCCAATTACGACAACAACTGTCTTGGAGGGAGGAGGAACACCCCCGGCCGCACCTCCTCCCTCCACCCGCCTCACTCTCCGCCCCAACCGACGCCCGCTGAGCCGTAGAGAAGGGACATTTTCCTAAGCAAACTTTGGTGCAAATTAGTTCAAGTACTCCTCTACAACACCTCTCTCTCTCTCTCTCTCTCTCTCTCTCTCTCTCTCTCTCTCTCTCCTCTCTCTCTCTCTTGCTGCTCCACCTCTGCTTCGCTCTGTAAGTGCCAAGCTACTGTCTCTGCAGGAGGGTTAGGGGCGCTCGTACCTCGCATCCCACCAATTTCTACCCCTGCGCTACTTTGGTCCCAAACGGTTAGGGCTCAGCTGTATATAAAATTCGGGTTAAGGAAAATAATCAACTCTTTCAACATATTCAAAAATATTAGCGACCTCTGACGAACGCCAAAAATATTGGCGTTCGTGGACGCCAAATGCCTAAAGGACGCCAAATTTTGGCGTTAAAAGACGCCAACCAGTCTACATTGGGGCTTGGAGTCGCATGTACTTAAGTGTTTTACAATTGCACACCTAGTTCATCTTTGTAATTAAGCATCCACTAGTACACCCAGAAAACGACATTCTAGCTTTTAGTATGTTAACATACTAATACGATACTCTAATTGGAAACTCTAAAGAACATACTAATGTTTAGAGGATGAACATACTATTCCAAAACTCTTAACTCACATACTAATGTTTAGGGTATGAACTTACTAATGCAACAATCTTGTGGGCCGCTAGGCACTGCCGCTAGATGGCGTCACGGTCAGAGCCTCTCTTACAAACACCATATTTTGCATTAAACTAAAATTTTGACATGAAACTAAAATTAATTTTACGTTGTATGCTCTATAAGACAATGACCTTTAGGGAACATGCAAGTTTTTGTTCAAAAAGTCAACCATGCGCCAGAAATAATTGGTTTAGTATCAACGCGCGCAGGGTCCCCGCCAACTCTCCTTAGTTGGGTGCGGCAATGTTTACCACCTTAGTTTGTGGTGAGTTCCACGCGCTGCATCATTTTTGTACTGGTGTTGAAGTGGGTCGCTGATCCATTTCGCTTTACTTCGGTAAAGATCATACTAAACGTCTAACTATCTGATCACCCTGGCCGAGTCGGTATTCTTTTTTTCTTAGATTAGGGTACTAACACACTAAAGATTAGAGTGTCAACATACTAATCAAACATACTATACTTCAGTATGATACATACTTCTATCTCCGATTAGGGTATTTACATACTGAAGATTAGAATGACATACTTGGTTCGTATTATACACTGTCAACATACTAAACATTAGTATGTTACTCTAAAATCAAGAATATCGTTTTCTGGGTGTATATTTTCCCCAAAAAAGAAACCTTGCACGGCTCTCCATTCTGAACAAATAGCAAATTATTTTGCAACGGCTCTTTATTCTGTACAAATAGAAAATTTATTTGCAAACACGTTTTGCAGCCTACGAGTAGCGCCGATATACACAATGTGAAAATGTCAGGACGGTTTACAGAGCCCAGTTCCCCCTTTTCTTACTTTCTCCTTGTACCGCCGTCGTACTTTTCCACCGTAACCCATTAAGTGTCCTGTCCCCTGGGCCCAACGCCCCCCTTCCCCGCCATCCAAGTAGCCAGTAGCGCTTGCTCTCTACTTACTGGAGAACAGCGAAAGGCAAAAAGTTAAAAGAAAAGCGCGCGACAAGGAAGTTTATTTTTATTATTTCTGCTCGTGTCGCCGGAGGCGCCGCGCCCTTGCTCCGAGGCGCGCCACGCTGTCCGTTTTGCCGTCCTGTTAAACTTTTTCAGGGCGCCCTTAAAATTTAATTAGCCGTGCTCAAGGCGGGCAAGGCGTTGACGAGGACAACGACGCCCTGGAGGAGCTGCGCCGAGCTGCGCACGGGGTGCGGGTGGCCAAAACTCGTTGACGGGCTGCTGCTGCAGGTCGGCACGGGAACGACCCGGAAAAGGGGGGGAAAGGGGGTGGGGGGCAGTTTTGACGTCTTGCAAGAGAGGGATTGCCTCTACTGTCAGCACATGCCAACTCAGTTTGTCGCAGCTGAAGTTTGAAGACCTCGCTTGGCCCACCCTGCCCCTGCCGCTGCTGCCGAAAACCGCCGAGCAATTGTTGCGGGATGATGGCTTTGGAAAGTTGTAGCATGGCCACGACAGCGTCGCTGCACGCACCGCATCCCTGACCCGCCTTCGTCCACCCCATTCCTTCTGCTTGCCCAGTGCTAGGACGTGGTGAAACTTTGGCAGGCAATACTTACTTGGAATCTCCTCATGTCTCTGGGGTTGCCGGCGTTCTTTAGACAGTTCTGATTGCACTTGAGGAAGAACTTGAGGAAGAATCTGCGAAAAAAGAGAAACAAAAAAAGTCTTTTAAGTTGGTTATTTTCGTTATGTGTTACATTGGTGTTGTGGGTAGAAGGGAAAAGGGTGGAGGGAGGGAAGGAGGGGAGAGAGAGACATTGCACATAATACACACATCGCATCGCGTATGTTCTGCCGGGTTCTTCCCGTCGTGTCAAAAACATATGTTCTGTATATGAAATACATGAGCAAAGCAACAATTCAAAAACATAAAGCAAGCAGGAGTATAGAGTTATTTCGCACAACCTGCTCGCGCATTCGTACGAACAGCCCTGCCATCGACACTTTGGCTGTTTTCACTTCCCCTCGCGTTGGCTGCACTGCCGTTCTCCCCCCCCCCCCCGGCACGGCTGCGCGCGTGAACTGAATGTGCGGGGGTGCGCTTGCTCACCGACAGGGGCGTAATCTAAAAGGGGAGTGGGGGGGGGGGAGAACGACGGACAACACCGCGCACGGTCGACACTCGTCACGACAAACAAAAACGCAACCAACGAGCAAGAACAAAACGACACAGGAATGTATTTTGCGGGAGGTTTTAAGCGCACGAAGGCGGCGCGCATTTTCGGAACTTTTTTCCGGGTGGGTAGCCGAGCAGGAAGGGAGTTGATGTAGTAGTCGCGGTGCGTGTTTGTGTGTGTGTGCGTGTGTGGGTGTATGGAGGCAGGGGAGGGCGAGTCACCCCTTCTAGGGTCTAGATCATCCCCCCGCACAGGAGGTAGGCACGGGAAGAGGCGCGGACAGAGCGAGGGCCCTGCGTGGATTTTTTTGCTCTCTCCCACGCACATCCTCCTCTCTGCTCCCCATACTCAGCGCAGCGCACCCCGCCCCGCCATCGCCATGCCCCTATATCCTTCAACGCCCCTCTGGCCCGGAGACTGGCCCCTCACGCCGCTCGCCCTTGCAGGACGTGCACTCCTACAGGTATTGCGG